CACCTCCTCCTGACCTGCACCTCCTGCTGACCTGAAACTCTTCCTGACCTGCACCTCCTGCTGACCTGAAACTCCTCCTGACCTGCACCTCCTGCTGACCTGAAACTCTTCCTGATCACCTCCTCCTGACGTGCACCTCCTCCTGACGTGCACCTCCTGCTGACCTGCACCTCCTGCTGACCTGCACCTCCTCCTGATTTGAACCCTCTCCTGACCTGCACCTCGTCCTGCTGACCTGAAACTCCTGACCTGCACCTCCTCATGCTCTGAACCTCCTCTTGACCAGCACCTCCTCCTGTCTTGAACCTGTTTCAGGACCAGCATGGCTGCCGGAGTCGCAGCCTGGATGCCGATTGCGCGAGCAGCGGCCATCGGGTGGATGCCGGTGGCCAGCGAGCCCATGCCGGTTCCTCCAGAGGAGGAGGAGGAGGAGGAGGAGGAGGAGAGGAGGCGTGATGGGCTGATTGTGCTGAACGTCAGTGGAACCAGGTTCCAGACGTGGCAGGACACGCTGGAGCGGTACCCGGACACTCTGCTGGGCAGCTCGGAGCGGGACTTCTTCTTCCACCAGGAGACCAGTGAGTACTTCTTCGACCGAGACCCGGACATCTTCAGACACATCCTGAACTTCTACCGGACCGGGAAGCTGCATTACCCGCGTCAGGAGTGCATCTCTGCGTACGACGAGGAACTGGCCTTTTTCGGGATCATCCCGGAGATTATCGGGGACTGCTGCTACGAGGACTACAAAGACCGGCGGCGGGAGAACCAGGAGCGGATCCAGGATGATGAAGAAAATGACCAGACCAATGAGCTGGTGTTTGTGGCTGCCAGTTTCAGGGAGACCATGTGGCGGGCCTTCGAGAACCCGCACACCTCCACCATGGCGCTGGTCTTCTACTACGTCACTGGCTTCTTCATCGCGGTGTCGGTTCTGGCAAACGTGGTGGAGACGGTACCATGTGGCAGGGTACCCAACCGGGCCAAGAAGATGTCGTGCGGTGAGAGGTATGGGCTGGCCTTCTTCTGCCTGGACACCGCCTGCGTCATGATCTTCACGGTGGAGTACCTGCTGCGCCTGGTGGCCGCGCCGAGCCGGTACCGCTTCATGAAGAGCGTGATGAGCGTCATCGACGTGGTTGCCATCATGCCGTACTACATTGGCCTGGTCATGACCGACAACGAGGACGTGAGTGGGGCCTTCGTCACCCTGCGGGTCTTCAGGGTCTTCAGGATCTTCAAGTTCTCGCGGCACTCTGCGGGACTTCGCATCCTGGGCTATACCCTGAAGAGCTGCGCCTCGGAGCTGGGCTTCCTGCTCTTCTCCCTCACCATGGCCATCATCATCTTCGCCACCGTCATGTTCTACGCAGAGAAAGGTTCCGGGAGCAAGTTCACCAGCATCCCCGCCGCCTTCTGGTACACCATCGTTACCATGACGACACTGGGGTGAGTCGCCTTCAGTCTGAGTGTGAAAAGTGGCGGAGCCTTACTGTGTCTGAAGGGGGAAGAATTGTGTCTAAATGGGCGGAGTCTATGTGTTTATGTGTGATGGGGTGGAGCTTTGTGCTCTACATGCTCGTGGGGGCGGAGCTGACCTTTAAATATGCTGTCTGCTTCTGAATGAGGACTGGATTTTAGCTGATTTGAGGAGCCGAAGGAAGAGCAGAACGTTTTCGGTTAATTTAGCTGAGGGGAAGTCAGCTGATGCTGACGGCATGGTTCATGTTGACAAACGTCAAATGTCCATCTGTCCTTCTGGAGACAGGAAACTGAGGAGCAGCTCAGTTTGGACTGAACTGGGTCAGAACCTCTTGTCTTTGTCTCCTCCTTGTCTCTGTGGGACAGTTTGTCCCTAATGCAGCTGATTAGAGGCGGAGCCTCATTAATGATCTCAGTAATGAAGCAGCTCCAGAGCAGCTGAGCAGAACCTTCGGCTGCTATTAGCTGAAACGACTGTTTTAACGACCTCAGAGGTGCTTTCAGCTGTTTACTCCAACAGAGCTGAAGGCGAGGACGACATGGTGGCTTTCTGTGTTTGCAGTGAGGCAGGAAGTTCTGTTTTTGTGGCAGAACCTCTGAGACTGGACCACAGTACGGAACCACCATCAGTCCAGAGACGGACAGAACAGAATCAGAACCAACGCTGGAGGGAAACATTTCCTTTAATCTGAAACTAAAGCCAAACATTTCATCAACAAAGTTCATGCTCAATCATCCAGGTATCAAATCCAATAATCAGTCGGGTCATCTGGACAGTTTCTTTGATTTATAGAGACGTTTCGCCCTCTATCCAGAGGACTTCATCAGTCTGAGGAGTTCCACTAAACCGTTTCCCCACCAGGCGGTAAACTTCTTAAGTGAACCAACCATCGCTGGAGCTAAGATGGACATTTAATCGTTTTTAAATGTTTGAAACATTTAATCATTTTTAAATGTTT